CTGAAGACCTGGTGGGTACGGGGGAAGGATTGCAGGGTATACCCTTTGGTTGGTTGATGATGCATGGAGGGGATTGTAACCATGGCAATGAGACGATATACAATAGAATGAATGTAAAACTAATGTTCTCCCATGTAAACTATCACATAATTCACAATAAAACATTTAAGAAAAAACAAAACAAAACAAAACCTACACTAAGATTCTACATATTAACTTCTATACTGCCTATGGAAAACATAAACCTATAGCTTCATGTAAACACTGTGCAGAAGGCCCAAGCAACAATATTGTTAATATTCTCTGAGCTTCACATAAGCTAGTTAATTCAAGAGTGACCACTCACGCCGCCATGCTCAGCTAGCTGCACACACATGGGTGGGTGGCTGGATGGTGAAAACATCCTGCCCTGGATGACACAATCACTAACCATCAGTTTTCAAAACATGATCTGATCAGGTCAGTCTATGGAGGTGAGTTAGAGTGAACAGATTTAAATTATCAAATCCAATCCTTAGTTTCTCTCTGGCAAACCCAGGGGCTTAATAAAACAGTGAGTGTGACGAAACCACCTCGAATCTGAGTCAAGTTCAAGGATATCCCACAGAAAATAAGATGGTTCTTATGGTATTTCTAACAGACGGTTAAAGATGTGCCTATGCCCAGCTGTTATGACTGCTCTCAGCCCTCCCCAGATATCTCAAACCACTACCACAGCCAGGCCCAGACTTCCCTATCAACTCTTTCTCTCCCCTTTCTAACAAGCAGCTAACAGATGTGACCACCGAAATTCTATCACTTACAAGTTCTACAGCTAATACTAAAATGTACTGCCATTTAACTGCAAACACAAAGAGAAAGAATACCATAAATTACCACAAGATGGCTATTTTAGCAACAGAAATAATCAGAAAGTAACACTTTTCCTTTTAGAGAAAATAAGAAAGAATGTATCAAAATATAGCTTGAAAATCTGATCCACAAAACAATCATAATCATAGTTATAAAAATTGTTTTCAGAAATGGAAATTAAACATTTTGGAAGTATTCCTTTTAACAAAAGTCAAGACAGAAAATGTCCTTTAAAGAAAAACTGGGTGAGAACAAACAAGATGGCGGATCGGGTGGACGTATAGCA